AGCCTAGTAAGATTAATGTCCTGCATTCCTCAGAAGACACCACTTCAGCTGTAGGAGCAATTCTTCCACTTTTCTTTTAGCTTTCTCTCTCTTTTGTATTTTGGAACCCTCTGTTTGCAGTTTGCTTCAGGATAAGACTGGATCTTGGTCAAAATCAGTTAAAATATAGACAAGCCAGGGAAGAAAACGAAAATGAAAATGTTCTGATAAGTGATTCTGACCTTCATTCATAAGCTGGGTTATGTTCATTTCATCAGGTAAACCCTCAGTATGACTTTCCAGTGCAAGAGCTCAGTGATGTATTGCATGGTGTGATCAAATACTTCTTCCCTGATTCTCAAGCCAATATTTCTCCTACAGTGTAGTGAATGATAGCGGTAGTACTGCAAACGCATTAGTTGTGAGCAGACCTTTCCTTTTCTCTCACTTTCCTGTCACTGCCTCCTCTTCTGTATCTCCATTAGTACTGACAATGATGAAGAAAACTGGAATTTGTTCCAAAATTTTGAGTGGCTCTTCATTTCACTCCCACTGCCTTCAACAGTTTCTGTACTTTAACAAAGGCTGAGTGTGTTCTGTTCCAGCTCCTACAGAAAGGAGATGATGGGTGTGTCTACATAGCATTTTAGTGCTGATCAGGACTGTGCTTCTGAAGTGAATCATTTGATCATTCCCACTTACTATGCTTTGGTTCACATCTCAGAGCAGTCTCAGAGTACATGAAATTGATTCCTTTCGTAAGAAACTAAGGTGGAAAATGCACCCCAGCAGCACACTGAATGTGGTCCAACTGCTAACGAGCATATAGTCTATGGGAACAGATCAGAATTTTTTTCTAAGGGGAAAAAAAAAAATCCAAAATGTGTATGGTGTGGATATCAGGTCCTCAGCAACAGTAATTCTATTCTACAAACCAGCCTGAATGCTTCCTAACCTAGGCATGGCCAATAAATGAATTGTAGCACCTGTAGCACAGGACTTTTTTTCACGTGTAGGCTTCCATGCACATCTGCATCAGCCCAAGGACAGCCCTTTTGCTTCTTAGAATCATAGAATAGTTAGGGTTGGAAAGGACCTTAAGATCATCTAGTTCCAACCCCCCTGCCATGGGCAGGGACACCTCATGCTAAACCATACCACCCAAGGCCTCGTCCAACCTGGTCTTAAACACTGCCAGGGATGGAGCATTCACAACCTCCCTGGGCAACTCATTCCAGTGCCTCACCACCCTAACAGGAAAGAATTTCCTCCTTATATTCAATCTAAACTTCCCCTGTTTAAGTTTTAACCTGTTACCCCTTGTCCTATCACTACAGTAAACACATAATGTTTGCTTTTGCAGTTTAGACTTAGCCATTTTTGAATGGTAATGCTAAGAAAGAAAAGAATATCACTGTGCTTAGCTTACTGAACAAAATTTGATGAGGAGTAGAGATCTTAATTGTCCAGTGGCCCATAGGCTAGAACTGGAATTTTGAATTCACCAAAGCAGTAGAAATGGTGATGAATTCTAAAGTCTGAGCCACATCTTTCACAGGGATAATTTTACAAGGACAGAAAGAATATAGGTTGGAAAAGAGCAAGAGTGAGAATGAGCAATGATGAATGCATATAAGGGGAGCAGAGAATTGCGCTCCATCCCTTACACCACTGAACATTGATTTATTTTACCCAGAAATTAGCTAATGAATTACTAGATTGTTTACAAATAACAGTACTTCACCCATAAGAGCCAAATCATTAGGCCACACTCCCTCTCTCCCCTACTTAACTATCTGCTGAGAAGTGGAACATTTCAAAGAACAGAGGTGAAAACCTTACCTCGAGGTTCCCTAGTCTGGGCTGATCTCAGGAGATACATCCTTGGGATTTTCTCAGATGGAGAGCTTGTATGTTCTGACTGGGTACTATGCTTTAGTGAATAAAAGTTCCCAGACTCCTTCCTGCGATGCCTTGAAATACCCTATTTGCCTTTTGAAAGGAGGCCGTGTTTCCAGGTGAAAATTCAGGGTGGCCAATGTGGGAGCAGGACAAGGAGTCTTTTTCTGTCCCCATTCTTATTTGCCATATTAAATAGCTCCCCCAAAGTCTCTGCTTCTATTATTTCTTATTTATAATATTATTAGTGTTATCTCAGTAATAGCAGTATTATAGCGTTATTTATAGTCATTATAGAACCATAGAATAGTCAGGATTGGAAAGGACCTTAAGATCATCCAGCTCCAACATCCCTGCTATGGGCACGGGCTATTCACACTAGACCATGTCGCCCAAGGCTCTGTCCACCCTGGCCTTGAACACTGTCAGGGACGGAGCATTTATCATCTTTGGGCAACTTGCTCCAGTGTCTCACCAACCTCACAGTAAAGAACTTCTTCCTTATACCTAACCTGAACTTGTCCTGTTTAAGTTTAAGCGCATCCTCTCTTGTCCTGTTGCTACAGTCCCTAATGAAGAGTCCCTCTCTGGCATCCTTGTAGACCCCCGTCAGATAGTGGAAGGCTGCTATGAGGTCTCCATGCAGCCTTCTCTTCTCCAGGCTGAACATCCCCAACTTCCTCAGCCTGTCTTCATATGGAAGGTGCTCCAGCCCCCTTATAGCAGTATTTATACGCTGCTCTGTGCAGGGCTTTGCTGGACCTGACCTTCAGACTGTTGCCACAGAAACATTGTTCTTTCCTACAGACAAAACCTGTTTTCACTGTAAATGCCACATCACTGAGAAGTCGAGATGATTTTTGTCTTTCATGAAATTAATTGATCATTTATAATTTTTAATGTCTTTCAGTTACTGCTAAGTTTAACTGTATCCAGAGTCCCAAGGAACAAATGCTCCATAACCCCCTAACTGCTTTCTTGTCCCATCAGCTCCAATTGAATTATCTTTAAACTATCCACAAGTAAATGGAAATGATTGCTCTGAAAAATCAAGAAGACGAATACTTACATGTAGTGATAAATGTGACAGGCTCTACAGCACTGTTGATTCATTCCTACCTTAGATGTGTTTTCAAAGTACCAGGATAGCATGTTAATCAGAAATAGTGTTCTCTAAAATATTTTATTTCTGTTATAAAACTGACAATCTATTTAAGAAAAGTTATTAGTGCTTAAATGCACTTTTAAACCACATTAAGTTCTTCATAAGAAATATTTTATTCAGTGTTAATACTTTCTTTCAGCACTTAGGGGGAAACAACTGAGTCGGTAACTTTCCCTAACCTCACTTTCTCTGAAGTCTTTGAAAGAGCTAGTCTTCAATAGTGTCCATCCATAGCATTAAAAAAAATTATAATGATCAAAGACCCTAAAATAACATATATATATATATAAAATAACTATATATATAGTTTAACTTCTTGGTTTTGATCACTTGAGTCGTGTATGCTTCATGTCACAAGTCTCAAGCTTTCATCATAAGCTTTATTACTTTTTAAAAGAAAGCTGATATTTTTACTTACTTTATAATCATAGTAATTATGGCACTATTAAAAAAATCCAAATATCGCAAGACTTAAAATGAAATCACAAGATTTGGCAACACTGTTTCTCTATATTTTTGTCATTGCCTATTTTTATATTAGGGTTTTAATTAAATATTAGGGGATTATATTATTTTTATAACTGAGCCTGCTCCTTCTTTTACTTGGAGTTTTATTGTTAACTGTAACAGCAAGAAGATCAGGATGTATGCCATGGATTGCAATTGTCTTTTCAAGAGTTTGCTGAGAGGCAAAAAGCCTTTTCCCCCCTTCCCCCCCCTGTACACAGCACCACAGTGTTACTCAACTGTCCATCCTTTTCCTAGCAGTTTTTCTAAGGGAAGAGGGTTGTTAGAAGGCAAAAGAGGCGGCAAGAGAAGTGAGAGAAAAAAAAAAAGACATTGCTTTTATCCCTCGGCTAGTGAAATGTTGTGCTCAGTCATGGACCAGTGGCCAGCGATTGCAACCACAATCAGGAGCTGGCTAACGTTTATACCGTTGGTAGAGCGTACTGAAGAGGTCTGGCATTGAGAAGGTACTGGCTCTGGAACCAAAGGCAATATAGCCAAGTCAGCGTGCTTCTGTTTCCACGCCAATTAGTCCTGCTGAAAGGACTAATTAACCTGGAAGGAAGTTCACAATAATAGCCACTGTGCTGTCTCCACCCTGACCAATGTTTTACACAAAGAGCACCCAGAAGCTCACAGGCGACACATCAAGGAGCCAACAGCTTCCACCGTGGGGCCCTTTGGCATCAGTGCAGCTTCCCTTCATCACTGCCCTGCATAACAAGCCTCGATAGGCATGCTTTAAAGACAGTGGAGGTTTTGCCTGGCAAAACACAATCATCTAGGTCTGTGTTGATGGCATCCTCACAGGCACTGTTGAAGAGAGGCTCGGGCACAGCGCTGAACGCACACCCGACTGCCAGCCGTGGCGCGGACGCTCCCTGGCCCTTTGCGATCCGGTCTAGGGCTCCCAGCCCGTCTCCCTCTCTTGCCCCAGCGGCCCCCCCCTAGACCCTGCTTCCTGGGGCAGGTGGGCGCAGGGACCCCGCACGGCGCAAGCAGAGGGGCAGGAGACGGCGGCCCGGCTCCAGTGGGGTCCCACCGCGGGGACCCCCTCACCCTCCCGAAGAAAAGGAGCCGGCTGCGGGGAGGGGGCTGCGAGGGAGTACCTGAGGGCAGGTGCCTCGGGGCCGGTGCCGTGGCCGGCGGGGCGGACGTGCCCCGAGGCGGTGCCGGGGGTGCCACCGCCCGCTACTGCCGGCCCGGTCCCGACAAGCCCCGCTGCCCACCGCGCCCGTCCTCGGGGTGTCCGCCCGGAGGGACGGTGGCGGCGCCCTCCCTCCCTCGCTCTCCTCCCCTTATCTTCTCTCCCCTCCCCTCCCTTCCCCTCCCGGCTGGCGGGAAGGCAGCTGGGCGGGCGGCGGCGTACGGGGACAGCGGGCGGAGGGGAGGCAGGCGGCCGGGCTCCGGCGGAGGGCGGCTTCCTCCGGGGCTCGGCGGCGTCCGGGTGCGCGGGCTATTCCCGCGGGCCCAGCAGTGGTGTTGGGACAGGGGGTGGGGGGATTTTTATTTGGGGGGGGGGGGGGGGGGAACGGCCAAGTGAGGGTAGAACGGGAACTGTCGCCTCCGCCTCTTCCTCAGTGGCAGCCGGGGCAGCCGGATCGCGGCGGCTGCTGCTGCTGCTCGGAGGGACCGCGGAGCGGAGGGATGTGGGGCTTTGGAGGAGGCAGGATCTTCGGGATCTTCTCCGCTCCCGTCCTGGTGGCCGTAGTCTGCTGCGCCCAGAGGTAGGAGCCAGCATTCCCCGGCGGCGCGGGGTGCGTTTCGGCAGGAGAGCAAGCTGATGCTCCCCCCTCAAGCGCCTACCATCGCCACCGACCCCGCGCGCCCCGTCCTCTGCTTCCCCCGCTCGACACCCCCCGTCTCTCTCGCCCCCACAGTGTGAACGATCCCGGCAACATGTCCTTCGTGAAAGAAACTGTGGATAAATTGTTGAAGGGCTACGACATCCGCCTCCGGCCGGATTTCGGAGGTGAGTCGCCCTGTCCGGGCTAACCGCCCGGAGCACCCCCCATCCTCCCTGCTCTCCCCCGGTCTGCCGCCACTCCCGCACGGCGGCCCCAGCTCCCGCGGCCCCTCTCGCCTCCAGGTCACGGAGCAGCGGTGGGTAACAGTGTCATCTTCCCGCAGGTCCGCCCGTCTGCGTGGGGATGAACATAGACATTGCCAGCATCGACATGGTTTCCGAAGTCAACATGGTGAGTAGCGGGAGGCCCCGGCCGGCGCCGGGGCTACCGCCCGTTCCTCGTCCCTCCCTCCACCCGAAGTCGGTGCCGCCTGGGCTGGCTGCGGCCGGGCTGCGCCGTGCGGCGGACGCTGTCCTCTGCTTGAAAACTTTATTTCCCCGGAGACGCCCCTTCCCTTTCCCCCTCTCGTCGCCGCGGCTGTGCGCGGTTGGTCCGGCCGAGCCTGGGGATGCCGGACCGCCTGACACCCCCCTCTTCTTCCTCTTCCCGGTCTTCCTCCCGGAGCTTGCTGGGGCTCCGCCAGGCCCCCGGCAGCTGCCGCGGTTTCGCAGCCGGCGGGACGCGGAGCGGAGCGGGCTGGCGGAGGCGGTCGCAGGGTTCCCGGGCGGCGGCATCAGTGCTGCCCGCATCATTCCGCTCCTTGAGCTGCTCCGGGGGAAAAAAGCCCACCAAGCCAGCTTGTCTGTGGATAAACTCTGACATGTGTGAGCGTATTAATTATTGTCTACGGCAGGCGCGATTGCCTGTGGACCTCGGAGGAATTGTAATTTTGCTTCGCGGAGTGATGCTGTGCGGGGCTGCCAGGTTCGCTGAGGAGAAGGGTGTTAGTGTTTCTGCATTTCGGTCCCCCCGTCTGTATAGTTCGGTGATTTGAGGTGAACAGATAGAATTGAGGTTTCTTGTTCTAGTCCTGAATCTGATGTGGATTTTTCATGTTCCTGAGCAAATTACTCCTTCCCTCTGTATCTCAGATTCCTCGTTCTATTCTTAGTTTTGCAAACCTGAGGTAAAAAGACCAGCCTACTCTGCAGTGGTGTAGTTACATTCATGGCATTAAGAGTAATAATCTGCACGTTTGAAAGCTGAGCTCTCTTTCAATAAATATGACACTAACACCGCACTACCCCTCCTTCAGTGCAGTGTTGAAGTGTTACAAGCTGGCATAGCTTGGCTTTATGCATGATCCGTGTATCTTCATTAATCCTGCCCCTTCTGTTTCCCACTATACCCAAAATTCTCAGATAGAAACTTCTGTTCTACTTCCAATCTTTTAAGAAGTGGTTTTAACAGAGACACCTGTTACCTGCTTGCAGTTAAAAGTGCCACTCTGCCTCTTTACTCATTCAGGAGGGATATACAAGACAGTTCTTAATTATAAGAGTTTATTTTAGGCTTCCTGCAGATTCAGGCAGCTGTAGGGAAACCTTGTCTATTCCACAGGCTTTTCTGTATCTGTAGGATTGCTTCTCAGAAGGATGGAAGCCGAGTCTTTGAAGGGTAATTAAAAAGCCTGACTCCAGTATCCCCATTGCCACCTTCCCCACCTTTGGCTAAGCTCCAGGCTTAGGGAAGCACTGCAATGCACATTAAATTAATATATAACACTTTGTGTATGTGAAATGCAATAAAATCAGAGAAAGGCAGACTGAGGCCAGAAAAAAAAAATAAATGAGGGGATGTATCCTGCATTTTGTGGCCTTTTTATTTTCCCTCCTCCAGCTGTGGGAAAGCCTGTTAGTTTTAAATAACAGCTTGCCCAGTCCACTGTAGCAGGGCTATAAGGAAAAGTAAGTAATTACACTACTTGTGATGTTGCTGGATTGGGTAATTAGATCTTGAATTATACAGGAACTCTTCAAGAGGATGGGTGCCATCCCTTTCCCCTGGACAGTGAGACAGTGTACCAATTGCTGAATTTTCTAGCAGCCCCACAAGTAAGTGTCTGCTCTTTTCTGTCAGTTGGCAGAGCTGTAAAGAAGTGGGTTTTCCCATGCCTTCTCATGGGGCAGTGCAAAGTCTGAAAAATATCAATATAGATCTTGCAACAGAAACAAATATGTGTTTCTGAAGGGAGATGTTGAAGTACTGTTGCAAAACATGGATTAATTTGCTTCAAGAAAAAAAGAGTAGAAAGAGCTTCTGAATGTGGAACACCTTACTACAACTGGAGTTTCAGCTGAACTTGCATCTTCTCCCTGTGAAAGAAGTAATCTTTGACTAAGCACAAGTACCGCTCAAGTTGATTACTTCCACTTATTTTAGGTAATTTCCTACTGATCTGCCGATTCTTGAGTAAATACCAAGAAACAGTGAATGAGAATGATCAGAAGGAGCTTTTCAAGATTACTGAAGTAATAGTAATATAGTGATAGTAATGATAGTAATGTGGAGGGGGGAAGAAAGGTCACAGTTTGAAGACCTAAGGCATAGCTGTTGAACTTAATGCTGGTTACTAACAAAACTTTTAATCTTTGGCATATTCTTTTTGCAAAAGATGAACTGTAGTAGTATGGACATTAATTTCTTTGATTTAAAACTAGACATTTGTGTAACCTTTATAAATTAGCTTGTTAAAATTCATCTCTATATTAAAAAGAAAATAACCAGAGAATTAACATTCTTCAATGTTATGAATATATATAAAAAGTTATTACAGCAAGTTTTATTATACTGCCTTCTAGGCAGCCTGTAATGTAGCTTTCAGTGATATGATGGCAATTCTTTGTAACAAGAATTATGGCTTGTATCATATTCTTTTCTATTCTTAATCAAACTGTAGGCTCGCATATAATGTATTCCTCTATGAATCTTCAGTTACTAGTTACTCTGGCTTTCCAGCACTTAAAAAATTTGTGTATCTTTAGTATTTCTGTTAAAAATTATTAAAAATCTTTTGGCCGTCTTACATCAAGGCTACCTGTAGCTATTTTTCAGAATAAACTTATTGAATAGTAAGGTGCTGCTTCCTCAGATTACATGGAACAGTTAACATTTTTCTTTGCTTTTGATGATGAAATGCTAAGCTGGATCAGGAGGACTGATGCAAGTATCAGGACTGCACAGCATGTAATTGTTTTATTGAAAAGTTTTAAGTAAGCGGTTTCTATTTGATCACATAACCTCTTGAAAATATTGATTATCATCATTGAAAATGTTACTCTACTGTTTACATCATACTGAAAATACTAAACATTTATTAAGTAAAAATGCTATGCTTTGATAGTTATACTTTGAGTTATGGTAGCAAGAATTAATTAATGAAGTTGCATCTAAGTAGTGCATTGTTCAAGGAAGGTCTGCAGTCTGTTAATGTCCTGTACAAATATATATTGAGATATATATATGTGTATCACCGCATGTGCTTTATTTCCCTGTGCATGCTTTCCCGTTATTATTTGCTTATTTCACAAATCATATCTGTAATTTAGTACTTAAGTACCTACCTATTTTTGTGCATGCTTCCGATAATTGCATTTAAAACTGCTATAACGTGCATCTCCAAACAAAATAGTAATCAATAATGGCAGACATAATACTGAGAAACTACTGTTGGTCATCTTATAAATAACGAGTATGAAAGATTACTGTTGTCAGATTTCAATAATTTAGCGTTATAATTTATCATTTTACGTGATTTGGGTTGACTGTGTTCTGCACTTTCTGTGTTTTAGAGGCATGTTTTGCTTAGACAATGTGAATTGAAAAAGAAATAGTTCTTGTGCTTTTTACTAGTCTGTCAACCTATTTCTGATCAGACAATATCCACAATTTGTGATTTATTTTTTTTTTAATAATCTGATTCTTGTTCAACATTTGCTCTGTGAATCAAATGTGTTAGTTCCACACATATAATTTTGAAGAACCCAAATAATCCTGTAGCTTTTTATCCTTAGGAAGTTAAATAATCAATGCACTGAATCTCCACGTAACCTCCTCTTTAAACTCATTGTTATAGCTGTAAGACTAAGGTGCTGTGCTTTCATTTTGCAGTCATTTTAGGATATGTTTTATAGTTTATAGAAGATAATGCTATAAAGTGGATAGAAAAAAACAAGGAGATCAGTTCAAATATGAACCTTTCTCCTTAGATATAATGTTTTGCACAGAATAGTATGGTCTCCTGAAAGACAGCAAACTTGTGCTACTGCTCTCTGGAGTGCTGACTACATTCTCTTTGAGTATAGAGGGGACTTCAGAGCTGCTCATCCAGGGTTTTTCAGCCTCTAATATCAATATAACCAGCAAAACTCAGGAGGCATCATTGGCTATATGGTCATCCTGCTGTTTTGAGAATACTGTAAGCAGAAAATGAGGTTGACATATAGTCAGACCGTAAAACTTACGAGTTGTTGTTTCTGAAAAAGATGTAATCTGTTCTATGCTAACACTGTAATTTTTTATTTTTACATATGTTCCATTATAAAACTGCAAGTATGCGTATGGACTTCATTGTGTCCCTGCTGATTTTCAAAGTAATTTTGACATCCATCTGACAAACTGTTTTATTTGCTGCTCTAAGGTCAACAGAAGTTCTTACTCACTGTGAGCAAATATCATCTACTATTCCTTAGGTAGCAATGCATAGATAATTACTCTTAGGTGAATTAATTCATACTTTACTTGAAGTACTGAAGGTGCAGAACCTTCTCACATCTCACTTTAGGTATGCAAAAAATGGGGTGGGATTCAATTTATGTAAATTGAGATGTATGCAATTAGATGACCAAATGAGAGCTGGATTGCTAAATTCTAAAGCCATAGTTAACGGAGATCTAGAACAAAATGTGGTGTCTTAGGCAAAGGTGTCTACTGTCATTTTTGTTTCATGGTGTTGTATGTGTCCTACAATTTCCAGTTCAGGTTGTCACAGATCTCTTTGAAGTCCTCTGCCATATCTGTGTTCTCTGTGCATGTGTTATACATGACATCAACTCCTGAAGTTTAAACAACTGACTCTTACTCTTGTGAGTACAAGTGGTGGAGCCCTGAGAGCTATTTATCTTAAAGAAGACACTTTAATAGTGCTTCTTAGATATTTTAGGTGCCTCAGGGTATCCTGTTTGAACTCAAGCTGCCTCTTCAGAAGGGTAGGGTACTCCCATAGATACTGTGCTGTACCTATCAGCCATATGCAGGGGTCTTGCATAATCCAGGACATCCAGAATGGCAGCAGACACCCTTACTTGGGTAAGTGGGTAAGTGAATTGTTCTCTAGGTTTCTGGCTAAAGCT